TGTTCCTTCCCAAAATATTCATGGGCTAATCGCATGACTATATATATGGTTGCATAACAAATCAGTTGAACTCCACCCTCTGGATAACCCAGAGGGTTCGATGTAATCATGAGGCTCCAGTGAGTCAGGTCTGATAGCAGAGCAGAGGTTGGGGTCATACACTTGCTGGCTCTGAAGAGAAAGGATGGGGCATCAAACAAGGGAGGTGGCAGCTTCTAGAAGCTGGGAAAAGCAAGAAGATGGCTTCTCTAGAAGCTCCAAAATGAACAAAAGCTTGCCAACATCTTCATTTTAGTCCCATGGCACACCTAACCCACCTAGCTATAATACCGTTGTGTGGTTTTAGGTCAATTCTTTGCAATACATTTCTTAATACATACCTCCTATCGGGTCTGCCTTTCTGCTTGAACCCTGATTGATATGCCATGTTGATGCCTTGAAGAACAAAAAGAAAAGAAATGTCAAATTCTTAAAAAAGATTTTTTGTGGTGCTTTGAATGGCTTTGGCATTTTCTTAGCTCTGGGAAGGGAGTGATGAACAAGATTTCAAGTTTCCTCATTTGTAAAACTAGGCTAATCAAAGAATACCTTGTAGGATTATTATGTTAAGTACATTACTGAATATAGTGCACTTGGAATTATGTCTGTTACAGAGTAAGTGTTCAAGGACCAGCAGCAGAAATGAAGGTCTGTAGAAAGGCAGTAGAGAAGGTTCCCTGCCTTCGAGGAGCTGATGGACTAGAGGAGGAAATGGATGATAAAGTCAGAATGGAAGGAAAGAGAGAGAGAGTTTTCCGTGATGGTGATGGATGCCTTGGATAAACTTTTTCTTTTAATATCCATAAGGGCAGGTTTATTATAAAAAGGAAAAACAGAATAATGGATGCTTGCTGAGACACAAGCAGGCAGAAGGAGCTGCCCCTAATAGGGGCAAGTTTGTTAAGGGAGAAACCTACAGGGTCACAAGCAGGCGGGCTTGGGAAGTGAGCTGCCTCTGCTGCTTTGCCAAGGGAGAGGGTGGCAGAGGGGAGCACCTGCCTGGGCACAGGTGGGCCGAGGGCTGCTGCTGCTTGTTTAAAACTTTAGGCCAGCAGCCCACTGGCCAAATCCCGCCTGCCATCTGCTTTCATGTGAATCATGAGCTAAGGATGGTTTCCACATTTTTATTTTTTATTAAAGATGTATTTATTTATGCATACATAACTGCAGTACAGGCCAGAGGTGCAGGGGCGGTGAGAGGATTCACCAGAAACAGAGTGGGGAGCAGAATAAGCAGATCAATGAAATACACTGCTGAGGGGAGCAGCATGGAGACAGGAGAGGTCTGCCATGCCATGTGGTCACTTCCTTGGCCAGGGATGGATCAAACAGCTGAGGCCAACTTGCAGTGCTGTGTCCTAACCCATTGTGCTACCAGGAAGGGCCTGATTTCCACATTTTTAAAAAACTGAAAATAAAGTCAAAAGAGTATTTGATGACATGGGAAAACAACTTGAAATTCAAAATACTTCCTGGCTCTTTATGAAAGTCACCTTGCTTTAGACTGAATGTTCAAGGAGGGCTTCCCTGAGGAGGTGGCATTTAAGTTGAGAGCTGAATGGGGAAAAAATAAAAAGAGGAAGATTAGAGATAGGAGAGTGAGAAGACAGGACAAGAACTAACCAAGATCTTTCCCTACCCCTCTTGAGGCCCTGAGACTCTACGGGTGCTAGGTTGGTTGTCTCAAGGTTACAGAACCCAAGGGTCCTAAGTTAGGATAGCACAGGACTGGCTGGTACCAGAGCCTGCCGTGCTCTGAGCCAGCCCTGTATCAGCCTGGCACCTCCCAGGAGCCAGCAACTGCATGTTAAGTGGTTTTATTTGCCTGCCTCAGAGCAATGACTGGATTTTACAATAGATTCCTTCCCAGGAATAGGTGGGAAGGACCTGACCTTGCCCAGAGGCCTGAGCAGGTGTTCTGCAGCTTTCTGACTGGCAGACCCATGAGGCCACAAAGCCTGGACCAGACCCTGGCATTTTAGAGTCAGAAAAATTAAGAAATAGTGGGGACCAGTCAAATCTACCCCTGAACGCTAAGCTCTATTTGCCAGTTGTGTGACAGCAGGACGGTGGTTTGATTTCCTTAGTGCTTCAGTTAACAGCTCATGGTAGTATCTACCTCAAAGAAATGTTAGGAATTAAGAAAACAATAGCCAGCACCACACCCCAGGAAGGGCTCAATAAACACTGAGTAATCCTAAGTACTTTCTCTCAGTTAGCTCTGACAACAGCCTTAAGAGATACTGGAGAGGCAGAGGACTCTGGGTTTGAGCCCAGAGTCATTGTTAGATCTCCACCCACTTCCTCTTGGCCAAAATCTTGACATGCTTGATTTTTCTCTTTCTTCTAAATGCCACAGCACGAAACCCAGCCTCCAAAATAGGCACACAGCCCAAACATTCCTGCCACCTCTGTGGTATCATCTCAACCCAAACTGTCATCTGCTCTCATCCAGAATTTTGCAGATATTCTGGCAGGTCTGAGGACTTCTCCTACCCCCAGGACCCCCAATCAATCTCCACAAGCAAACAAGTCCTGACAAAAGTCAGGCTGTCGAACTCTTCAAAAATCTTCTGTTTCCTAATACATTGAGAATTAACCAACTGCTTTATTTTATGATCATATACTACTGACTACCAACTACATGTGTTTTAGGCTTTAGCAGTAAAACAACACACATAATAATGTGTTAGATGTTAAGGTGAAAAAGAAGTCAGGGAAGTGGGAAGGGCTTGGATATAAATGGCGGGTGAGAAAAGGCTATGGGATGAGACAAGGGTTAAACAGAGGCCTAGAAAGGGGAAAAGGGGAGCCATGGGGCTCTCAAGAGTAAAGCACTCTAGATAAAAGTCCCAGTGAGTGCAGAGGCATTTCTGGTGTGCTCCCTAGCACATGGAGGAAGCTACTGTGGACACAGTGCATGTTACAGGGCAGGAGAGGGAAACCCCTGAGCCCCAAACTTGCCCTCTCTAAATAGGTTCTGCCATCCGCCACATCAAGACAAAACATGTAACACCTTTAATGGAAAGGAAGTTTAATACAACGAGTGTGCAATACAGAAAAGACAACGAATACAGTTTCTAAAGCAAACACCCGAAGTGACCCAGCCCCTCGTGGGTAAAAGTCCACCCAAAAGGGACTGGCCCAAAGCAAGGCTGGAAGGCCAGACTTGGTCTAAAGCACCTCTGGCCGAGACCCACAGAGAAGGGTCAAACATGGCCAGATAAGTCTGGGAGGAAATGATCAAGATCACAATTAAAATCAAGATAAATGCTGTCATAGTCACTCCCCCATGGGTCTCCACCCACATGTGTTACCCAGTCCAGGACCAAGAAACTAGAGCCGCGTCACTAGAGCCAAGTCTTCAGTGTCTCTCTGCTCTACGTGCCCCTTCAGGTCTCCTCTGGCTCCATCCTGCTTCCTTCCTCGGTGACAGGTCTGGCTGGGAAGAGGCCGTTGAACCTGCTGGCTCTCCGAGGTTTTTGCTCTGTGACTGGGAGCCAGTGGAGGTTTTGAGTGGAGAGACAGGGGCTTTAAAGGATCTCTAGGGTCGCCACTGAAAACTGTTACAGGGCAGCGAGCGAGGGGCACCCCTGAACCCCCAAACCTGCTTGATCCAAATAGGTTCTGCCATCCGCCGCATCAAGACAAAACATAAAACTTTAATGAAAAGGGACTTTAATACAGTGATTATGTAACAGGGTGGTCCCTCGGAAAAAGGGAAGTTCCAGATTCCCGGCCCCACCCAGAAGGAGGGTGGAGCTGAGGAGAAAAAGAGTGAGAGAAGGAATCTGAACCGAAGGAAGGCGGATGGAGAGCCAGGAGACCTGAAGAAGCCACATGGAGCAGCAAGCATGTGATGGAGAAACTGCTTATTTCTTGACCCTGGACTGGTTAATGCAGACGTGGGTGAGATACCTGTAGGGAGGAAACTGTCAGTGTTTATACTGATTTTGATTTTGCTCTTTTCCTCCCAGACTTGTCTGGCCATTTCTGACCCTTTTCTATAGGTCCCCGCCAGAATGTGATTTAGGCTTGTGGCGGCTTTCAGGCCGTGCTTTGGACCCATCCCCTTTGGGTGGACTTTTGCCCACGAGGGGGATGGGTCACTTCAGGGTTTGATTTAGACATTATATTCTTTGTCTTCTGTATATGCACTGTGTGCATTGTATATTCACTGTATTAAAGTCCCTTTTCATTAAAGTTTTATATGTTTTGTCTTGATGGGTGGATGCAGAACGAATTTGGAGCAGGCGTTTGGGGGTTCAGTGGTGCCCCTCATTCCCTGTAACAAAACCACGAGGAACAGTGGCAGTGGAGACCACTGAGGCAGCATGGCAGGTACCACCTCAGACAGGAAGCGGGGGCCAGGGAGGGGAGGTGGTCAAACCCGGTCGTCTTACCGGGGGTCCCAGCCCTCCCGATGGGGTCCCTCCTACCCGCCAGTGTCAGCTGGCTCCTCACTGTCTCCCCAGCCCCACACACCATTGTTAGGCACACACAGGCCCGTAACAGCTAACTGCTGACTGGATGAACAGTCTAAAGAATGATCTGTTGTTAGGTCACTGCAACCTATTTTAATGATAAATTCAGTAAATGCTGGTGGTCAGTCCTCTTTACAGCTAAGGAAACTGAGGCCCGGCCGGGGGAAGTGTCCCCTTGGGGGGCCTCAGCCTGGCCTAGGCCAGAAGCTTTCTTGCCAACTTTAGTGAAGTCCTGGCCACTACTGGAAAGAGCTGTCTTTATGCGTGATTCACAATTACCTCACAGTTGTTTCCCCCCAAACGTCCCCGCCTTGCGGTGTGGAAAAGCCAGAATCTCTCTGGGGGCCTCCAGGGTCACGAGACCTCGGCCACCCACGTGTGGGCAGGCGCTCCAGAAGCAACCTCCCTCCCTCGAGCCATAGAGACGAAAGGACAGAAGGGTCGCTCTCTGCAGCCGAGGCCCCGCCCCCCGCTTGCCGGGCCGCCCGCCTCTCCAGCGGAAGGCGGAAGCAAACACAAGACCTGCTAGCCCCGCAGCGCCCAACTCGGTGGTCCTGGAGGCTCCGCAGGATGGGGGAGAACATGGCGGAAGAGGAGTGAGTGGGCTTTTCCGGGGCGGCGGAGGCGGCAGGGCTGGGCTTCAGCGGGTGACAGCAACCGCCACAGGCCGCCCTCCGGCCCCGGAAGGCGGAGCTCCCTGTGCCTTTTGGCCTGGACTGGAGTGCTGGCGCCTGCCGGGAGGGCGGGACGGGAGGGCCTGGGCCGGAGCGGGCCTTGTGGCCCCCTGGAGATCGCAGGCTCGGGCTGGGATCGCCGCTGAGCGCTGGCTTCCAAAGCGATCCCAAAACTGCAGCCTAAGTCTCGCCTTCCCAGTTTTCGGTCATTTTATCATTTTATCGTTGTGGAACTCTCTGTCGTCTCATCCAGCCAGCCCCTCACCCCGCACTTAACCAGCTGACCTCTCTGCTGAAACGTCAGTTTCCGCTTCTGTGTCCAAAGTTTCATTCGTTACCTGTGGGCCAGGTCCTTTGTACCTGGTCATGAAGAATGGGCACCAAGAGCTACCCTCAAGGGAGCTTGCATTCTAGTGGACAAAGATCATAGAGAAGACGATATCAGTACTCCGAAGGAAATGCACCAGTGGGAGAATGGGAGAGTCAGCTCAGGAAGGAGTGATGTGCTAGCTCAAACTTTAGCGACAAGAAGAAGGGATAGAAGAGGGAACAGCAAATGCAAAAGCCCTGACGTGAGAAAGGGCGAAGCTTTTCAGAGACAGAAAGGCAGGAGCACGGATATATGGATTACTAGGGGGCAGTGGTTGTATCTTGCAGGTACTTCTGGATGGGGACCATCTTCAAACCTGTGACCCATTGTCTTGCTGGTTACTGACACCCAATTTTTGTGGAATGTATGTAAGAATTAACAAGGAGCCCCTTGCTTGAAATTTTACTCCCTCTTGAACAGCTTTTCAGATGGTCTCTTGGTCTGGTGGTCATTTCATTTAGTCACTTTACTTATTGAGTCCCTACTTTGTGCCAGACACTGAATCAGGGCCTCAACACCACAAAGCAAAAGAGGTTGCATAGCCTAGTGATTCTGGGTTTGTCACAGCATGCTGCTGGCTAGCTGAGATATTGACAAGTTCTGCAACCTGGTTGAGAACATAATACCCACCTCAGTCATGTTATAAAATGATAGGGTATGTGTTACCTAGACCCTGAAATGGAAACAGTACTCAATAAGCAATAGCTGTTAGAATGACAATGGTGATGATTATTATGTCAATATTGCACTAATACAACCCCAACACAGTATGAGGGGAGAATGGACGCGAGGGACAGAATGGGGTATTACTGAGGAAGTTGCATTTGAGCTTTTTGAAATCTGAGAATAGTTGCCCAGTTCAACATTTGGGCAAATCCAGGTGACTTATTCACCTTCTGGAAGTAATCCAAGGAAAAGAATGTAAATTGGAGAAGTAAAGTCATCAAAAAAAATAATGTTGGACCTTGGAATGTGAGGAGACACCCCTTTACCTTTGTTTAAAACCACATTCAGTGCCAAGAGCAGGCAGCATTTTGTTTCTGGCCATCCCGCATTCCCTCTTGTTCTCGTCTTCTAAGTGGCTGTGTTCCCAGTCCCTGAGGCCTCTTGAATCCTCCTGTGATGACCAGCAGGACTTGTCTTAAATCAGTTTCTTTCCTATGCCTGCCTGTTAGTTTGCAGACTTGTGAGTCCCCTAAAGCTCCATGCCAGCTTCTCCTGAGGGGTGTGTGGTGGGTGTGTCACACTGATACCCAGGGCCCTTTTTCCTCTCTAATTCCACTGTTTTCTATGTCCTCCAACAGGTTCCCCAATACGACTCATGAAGCTTTCAATGTCACCCTCCACACCACCCTCCTTGTCACTACGAAACTGGTGCTCCCCACTCCTGCCAAGCCCATCCTCCCAGTGCAGACGGGGGAGCAGGCTCAGCAGGAGGAGCAGTCAAGCGGCATGACCATTTTCTTCAGCCTCCTCGTCCTAGGTGAATGCGGAGACACCATCATCTGCCATCTTGTCTGTGGGCTGTCTGTATGGTTAATCCTGCCGTGTAAACCACTGCGTACCTTGTCAAATCTTCCATTTAGTTTTTATTTCAAACATTAAGGGACAGTAATCATCATTTCCTACCATCATAGGGTTACCCTTCAGCAGTTCTGAAGTGACCTTTCTGTAATAATTTAGATAGCCTTTGAAAGCAAGAGTGAAAGAATTTTTGACCTACAAAGAATCTTGAACAGCTGGTCGTTTAGTGCATTTCAAACTCCGTTCATGAGAGAGAGCAAGAGCTGCTAGTGGCTGCAGGAGGGGAGGAGCCAATGGAAGGGCACCCTACTTTCTGAGCAGAGTCATGTCCATTGTAGCTGTTACTAGGCTTTCATGTAAAGTTTTTTTTTTTTTAAAGATTTATTTATTTGTGCATACAGAACTGGGGTATAGGCCAGAGACTCAGGGGTGGCGAAAGACTTCATCAGAGACAGAGTGGGGAGCAGAACAGGCAGATCGACGAAGCACACGGCTGAGGGGAGCAGCGGGCGGGTCAGGAGAGGTCTGCCGCGCCATGTGGTCACCTCCGGGGCAGGCGGGAATCAAACTCATGCGGAAGTGGTTTCAGCTTCTTAGTGCTGTGCTTTAACCCACTGCGCTACCAGGGATGGCCCCATGTAGAGTTTTAATGAAGGCCTTTGCTCCCAATCAAAAGATCAGACACCTCTGTGATGTGGTCGTCCTAATCTCTGTCTTTCTCATTAGCCATTGTCATGACTTTGGCCAAGTCTATGGACCACCTCTGCTTTTCTTTCAAAACTTCACTTTGTCTAACCACTTCCTTTAACAGGTAAGGAGATGTAGGCCCAGAGAGGTTATGTGAGTAACTTCTTAGGCACCTAGACACTGATCCAGGGTGCCCAACAGCAGTTTAGATAAAAGTCAGTAACTGAAATGTTTTCCAGACACTGTGGAAAGGAGACAACTGTTCTACACCCAAAAAACCCAGTAGAAACTGCATAACCACTGCTTAGAATTTGATCTGGGTCCAAACTACATTGAAATAGTAAAGTTGGTATGTTGACATTTCCTGTTCTTAATGATACTAAGTCATATTGCTAATTAGATCACATCTTTTCAGAAGAGTGAAAGGTGCAATTGGATTACAAAGTGCAGTTAATGCGCTGATGTCTGGGATTTTTTTTTTTTGAGAAGAGCAACTTCTTTCACATTTATATTTAGACTGTTAATTTGCAAATAATTTTAATAGTTTAAAATCCTAGGACTGACCTCTCTTTTTAAAACCTTTAAATGACTACTGATAAAGTACACAAGGTGTACAGGTTTCTTTTACTTGTATTTCAAAAACTGATTTAGGGCTTTTTCCATTCATGGGACAAACCGATTCAAATTGATTCAAAGAAAACAAACCAGAGGGGTGGATTTGCATACCCATCAGCATGTGGAACCCAACAACTACCAGTGGCGCCAGCTTCATACTTAACTGGGTCTGGGTCGTGTCTCCCAGAAAAGGTCTTCAGTACTCACGTCATGTTCAAGAATGGTGTCCCACCCAGATTTCAGGTGCCCAGGCCATTGTTTTGCCCGGAAAATGTAGCTGAATCTATTTCCAGGGGATTATTTGAACAATCAAGGACACTTTTTATTTTCGTTTTTGTCATAGTAGTTAAACACAAAGAAGAAAAGCAGTTCTTTTCTTGATCAAGCAATATTTACACCTGAGTCCTTAACCCAAAAGGAGTATGATTAGTCTGTTTACATTGTTGTTAACTTGATAGTTAAAAGAATATCAAAGGCAGGTCTGGAAAAATCTTTTCTTTTGTAATCACATTTTTTTTTTCATGGGAGGGTGAAAAGAGTAAGACTTTCAAAGCAGTTTTCAGGGTGTGGAGTCTTTAAGATTAGCTTGTGCCAGAGACCACAAAACAGGTTTTTAGAATATGCTTTTTAATCTAGGCAAAAGCCTGCCTGGTGCTAATACATCTTTGAGGCAAGAAAGGACTGACCTGTATTTTTTCTCTTGTTTATTCTTCAAAGAGATCATAAACCTATACTGTACTATCACATTAAGGTGGTTTCCTTTCCAGCTAATCAGAGTCTGGGCGTATCTTAGGTTTAATGTGTGGGTCAACATGCATAAGCAGAATGGAATGGATTTGGAAGCATTTATTTCCCTCTGATCTTATATATTATCAGCAAGATACCATGTATCTTGTAGTTTGCTCCTGATTAGATGTCAAAAAAATATGTAAATATGATAAAGTTAAAAAAAATCATTGTTAATAGGTAACTTGCTTACCAACTCACATGAACTGTGGTGAATTGAGAAAATCAGCCCACAGCTTATTCTAGACTTCAGGTGCTCCTGGCCTAGAAAACAATCACTGCCTCTTTGTTTCCTATTTCAGTTAAAGTGAAATGACATTTTTGTGGCCTGTATGTTAGAGGAGTACAGTGTGTGTCCCCCTTTTTAAAAAAATTATTTTTGTGTAGAGGAACTGGAGTTCAGGCCACAGGTGCAGGGGGTGAGAGGATTCTCCAGAGACAGAGTGGGGAGCAGAACAGGTGGATTTACTGAAATACACTGCTGAGGGGAACAGCAGGGGAGACAGGAGAGGTCTGCTGTGCCATGTGGGTCAAGTCTTGGGCCAGGGACTGAACTCAGGCCATAGGGGTAATAGTGCTGACTTAACCGTTACGCCCCCAGGGAGATGCTCCCCTTTGTTGAAAAAGATTCCAAAACTTGCTTTCAGAAGCTTGAAATCTTCTGACTTACTCTTAACCCATGCAGTCTTTGACTCTATAGAAGCAATGGTGAGTCACAGTTACTGACTTATACTAGAGTTAACAATTAGTATCATTTGACACAAACATCTTTTAAATGGGCTATAAAATTCAAGTTATTAAAAAGTGATGTGTCTGTTTTCATATAGTTTCCATAATTAATACTTCAAACACAGAGAAATTAGAAGCATGTTAACTTGTGCTATACTTTACAGGAGCTTTTAGCCCCTTGCTTTTTTTCCAAATGTACTTGAAAAAAAGATTTATGATGTATACATTTGTAAGCATGAGCATTTGTTCTAATGTGAATGGGCCTTGCCTTTTCACCTCACACAATGTCTTGGACAGCTTTCCATGTTTCTGTTTCTCATATCTTTTTTTTTAAATTTTTTTAAGGATGTATGTATGGTAAAATAAATGTAACAGAACCAGTGACCATTTGGAAGTGTACAATTCAGCATTATTTAGTATATTCACAGTGTTGTATGGCCATCATCACTGTCTGGTGATGTCATAGTTACTGGTATCAGAACACTTTCAGCAATGCCCCCAAAGGAAACCCAGTATTATTAAAAGTAGTCACTTCCTTTTCCCCTTACCCCTCCCAGGCATCTGATAAATACTGTTTTCTGTCTACTAGGAATTTGCCTATTCAAAATATTTTATACAAATGGTACCATACAACCTGTCGTCTTCCTATCTGGCTTCTTTACATGTTTCCAAGGCCCGTGCAAGCTGTGGCCTGAGTCAGAATGGCATTCCATATTCCGGCCAGATACTGTTCCATTGTCTGGCCCTTCCACGTCATTTGGCCATTCTTTCGCTGACGAGCATTGAGTCGTTTCCTCTTTTTGGCTATTGTGAGCAGTGCTACTGTGAACAATTGTGTGTAGTGTGTGGACCTCTTTTTATTTCTCCTGGATATCTACCTAGGAGTGGAGTTGCTGGGTTGAACAGTAACTCTGCGTGTATCTATTTTCAGCAACTGCAGGCTTTTACAGAAGCTGCACCTTTGACAGTTGCACTATCAATGCATTTGGACTCTGTAATTTTCCCACATCCTTGCCAACTCTTGGCTTTTTCCCAATTCTGTTTCATTCTTTAATTATTGTCATCCTATGGATATGACGCTGTTGTCTCTTTGATTTGCATTTTTCTAATGAATCATAACATGCGTGTTTGCGTGCGCTTATTGGCCATTTGTATATTTTGAGAGAAATATCTGTCCAGAGCCTTTGTCTATTTGAAGTTGCATTTTGTTGTTGTCGAGTTAGATGAGTCTATATTGTGGAAGCTAGACCCTGACAAAATGTGTTATTGGCAAATATTTTCTCCCCTTCTAGGGTGGGTTTTCAGACCTCCTTGGCTGAAGACCAGTCTCTGACTCTGACAGCCCTGTGTTTAACTCTCTCTATAGGCAGTTTTCCCCACTGCTTAACTTAGGAGCAAACAGTTGTTTGATTTATGAGAATAAACTTCCATAATTTTTTCTTCCAGCTTGATGCAGAGAAGAGCAGACACTAATTCAGCTCACTGGGCCTTTTAGAGTCTGTGCCCCGGGCCCACCCTCACCTGTAGACCTGCTGGTCAGCCCCGTGTTGTGCTGGTATACTTTCCTTGCTCCTAGAATATAATGTAGGATTTTTCTAACTGGGTTAAATATTTATAATAAAATAACACTACAGATTGATAGTATAAAGCACAGAATGAAAAAAGGCCAAAACTTCTATATTTACAACTCCCTCCTTTCTCTGGCCACCTGGTGCTTTCTGGTGGGACTAAAGATACCAAATGTGTCAGTGCTGGCTTGGAGTGTGGCCAGTTAACAGCCCCAGAGATTGTTTAAACATTTCCTTTTAAAGAAAAAAATAATTTTTAGTACTGTTAACATAAATCTGTGATTGATGCAAAGCTTTACCATCCAGTGCCCAGTGAGATAGGCATGGGTGCCAACATTTGAACCATGGAGTTACTTTTTTAAGATTTATTTTTGCATTCAGAACTGGAGTACAGGCCAGGGGGCAGTGAGAGGCTTCACCAGAAACAGAGTGGGGAGCAGCACAGGCAGATGGACGAAGTACACGGCTGAGGGGAGCAGCGGGCGGGTCAGGAGAGGTCTGCCGCGCCACTCAGGATGGGGATCGAACTCAAGCTGAAGTGGCTTTAGCTTCTCAGTGCTGTGCTTTAACCCGCTGTGCCACCAGGGAGGGACCCCATGGAGTTACTTTTAGGAATTGTTTATGTGACCATTTTTATTTTTGATTCAGAAATACTTGTTTCTTTTCAATAATTTTACATCCTTTTGTTTCCTTTCTTTCATGACAACACCCATGTGCAGAAAATCAGACAAAAAATCACCCATGTGATTGTGGGCTTTTTTTTTTTTTTAAGATTTGTTTTTATTTATTTATGCATACAAGAACTGGTGTGTAGGCCAGAGGTGTAGGGGATGAGAGTATTCAGCAGAGAATGGGGAACAGAACAGGCAGATCTACTGAGATACACTGCTGAGGGTAGCAGCGGGTGGGTCAGAAGTCTGCTGCACCATGTGGGTTACTCCCTGGCTGGAAATTGTATTCCTGCTGCAGTGGCTGTAGCCAGCTTCATAGTGCTGTGCTTTAACCCCTGGCCACCAAGGAGGCCCACTGCACTTATTTTAATGACTGAGGAGGGAAGGTAACTGGGAGGGAGGCGGTGGGTGCTCATACTGCAGCACCTACCAGTGAAGTGACTTTAGCCTCAGTCTTCTCACCTCTAACCAAGGACACAGTGGTGATGATAGAAGTGTCAGGGGTCCAAGGAGCCATAGTTTGGGAGGTGTTCAGTGCAATGCCTGGTTCACAGGGAGTCCTCAAGCAGCGGGAGCACCAGTACCTATCTGGGGAGCAAGAACCCTATCTGTAGGTCTGATCAAACCAGTAGTGTTCTGTGGGCAAAACATCTTCTTTTCCTTCTCTGTTAAGAGAACCAGTCATGGTGGCAAGACTGTCAGCATGTGCTGCTGCAGTACGGGAAAGTTGGTGACTTCCTCCTCACCATTTAAGGTTTTCTAGTTGTTTAGTTCAGAAAAGTTGAAGACCATTTCTCACAATCAGCGCTATTTGAATAATTTTAAGCGGTGACAGGTTTAACCGTAGGGGGGAAATTAGATGTCTGTTACCCTTTCTAGAACCACTGGAAATGAACTAGTTCAGACATATAAAAAATAATGGAAAAAAATGTACTAAGTGTTCTGAGTCTTTCTCCAGATTAAAGGAAATGAAAGAACTGAGAATACACCCAAAGTTCACTGTCATTGCCAGTTCTCCATTTCCCTGGAGGCTTCCCAGTAGTAATGTTGAACTTGATGTTTATCATTCAAAAAATTGGATTGTTAACAATGTCTCATTTTCCCCTACAGCTATCTGCATCATATTAGTGCATTTACTGATCCGATACAGATTACATTTCTTGCCAGAGAGCGTGGCTGTTGTTTCTTTAGGTAAGTGCTTACTGGTAATCCTACAATAAAAGCAGTAACAGTAACTACCATTTTGGAGTGCCTCCCTAGTGCCCCAGGAATCACAAGGAATTAGGTGCATACCTGTTCTCTCCCAATGCCCACTGCAAACTGGATGAGGGTGTTATGGTCCCATCCTACAGATGAGGGTGCAGGCTCAGAGACAGGTAGTGACCTCCTAAACGCCACCATCTGGGGACTCGGTTCTCCTAGAGCTACCCATGGGGGTAACTGACCTCTGCTTCTAGGAGTGCTGATGCCCAGCTCAACCTAGCCATGCCCTTTAGTTTGCAGAATTGATGATTTTGCAGGCAGAAGAGTCTCTCACTTAATAGTTGAGATATGACTCGCTTTAATGTCAGAGTTGAAGTCTCTGAGACCCTTCCATTCTACTCCATTTAATTTCTCTTTTGTTTCCTGTGGCATTTAGCTGTTAAGGTAATTAGCCTCTACTTAGAGGGGATGATGGGTACAGTCAGGTGTGAGCTCGCATCAAGTTTGTTGAAGTTGTTTGTGGAGAAGCAGTGACCTTCCTTTGCAGTAAGTGTTAACATCAAGACTAAAATGTGGGTGGGAACGCTTCAGGCACGGTAAATAAGGTTTTACTAACAGCAACTAAGCTACCTGCATTCATTCTACTGTGGCTGTGTTTGCTGTTTCCACCTGCCCATAACAACCTTTCACTGCAGCTTATAGGGCTCTTTTCTTTTTCTTGTTGGTCTGGTTTAGTACATTTAGTGATTCTTTCACCATATAGCGATGGTATAGGTTAGCTTTGAAGCTGAACAGTCAGACGCTGCCAGTTCACTGCCCCCATTGCCACCTGTGTTCCTACTACCTCAAATTTGTCTGGACCTCAGGGTGCTAAGGAATGCCAGATTCTGGCCTGTTTTCATGTCACTGTTTCATTGAAACCTCCTCATCCCTAGGTAATGCCATGTCTTAAGGAAGAGGCTCAGCCAGATAATATTGACCTTCAATAAAGAGCTAGAAGCCACTTTAATCAGTGTCCCTGCTCTGTATTTGACAGACTCTTCCGCTACACACATGGCAGTGTAACAGCCAGGGCGATATCCCAAGAGCTCCTGGAACGGGAGGCTCGTTCATTAACTAGGTCATTAACATTAGGCTCCTTGAAAATAAGCTACATAATACTCATTCTGGGGCATTCATTAAAGACATAAAAAAAATACTCCAAGGAATTTACAGGTTTGTGGTCAGTTTCCATAATTCCTTCAGAATAAGGACTATAATTGTGCATATAACACAAGTGGAAATTAAAGTAGTTCGCATCACGTGGTCTCGAAGTCAAGTTCTTGGCTGTTTGGTTCCTGTTTGGGTACAGGCAGTGTAGTGAACGCTGGTGCTTGTATTGGGACTGACAATGGACAGAGCCACCTCCCCCTTCCTTGAAAGTAGACCCAGGTGTCTACTTTTGGCCAGGTGTCTTGCCACAGAGAGTCTTGGTCTTCACCATCATGACTCCACTCTCCTCTGCTGGTGAGCAGGAGAGAGGAGCCGGGGCAGCACATCAGGGTGAAGCCCGGCTCTAGCCAGGGAGGCCAAGGGCAAGTGCTGGGTTTTGGACATTTCTCTCTGATAAAAAGAAAAGTTCCCTTACATGAGGATGATGCCTAGAGCAGTAGTAGCCATCTTGCAGTCACTGTGACTGCGAGACAGAAGCCAGAGAAGGCGAGGAGTGCCAGGGGGCAGACAGCCCGGCCCTGATCGCACTGTCATGTTGAATTCATAGTTCTGGAGCTCCCTACTCCCTACTTAAGAAAATAAACATCTATTGCTTAGGCCATTTTAGTCAGGTGTTCTTTTACTTGTAGCTCAAAGACTGATCTAGGACTTTTTTCCATTCATGGGACAAAACCGATTCAAACCAATTCAAAGAAAACAAACCGGAGGGGTGGAGTTGCATACCCATTGGCATGTGGAACCCGACAACTACCAGTGGCTCCAGCTTCACACTTAGCTGGTCAGTCTCCCAGACTCAGTTTTCTGTTTCTCAACACTGTTGCCCTTTGTTCTGGCTGCACTCTCAGGCAGGTTCTCTCCATGTGGGAAGTTGTGACAGCTTCGGGCTTACTGTTCTTACAATAGCAATCCCAGTAGGAAAGGTGACCTCCTGTTTTCCTTGGTTGCACCAGAAGTTGCAGATGAACCCTGCCCAGATGGCCACCCCAGAGCTGAGCATGGGGTGGAGTGGTGAGGGGCCAGCCAAGGCGTTCTGTCCACGAGATTGATTTCTTGACTGATGTGGCAAAAATACTGATGTGTATGTAGCTAAGTGTAGTCAGGTCTCAGGAGGGGTGGTGAGAAGGTAAGTCTTTGCTTTTTCCATACATATTTCCTAACTCTGGTGACTGGAAAACTGAGAGTTCTTCCGGAGGGTCCAGAGGTGTTCTTTATTGATTTAGAAATGCTGACAAAGCTATCAAAAATAGTTCTGTATTTCATGGCGCTATATAAATTGAAGGAAAGTTTTTTCTCCTACTGGAGCAAAGTGTAACAAAATATTGAGAGAGCCACCATTCAAGAATTTCTAACTTCTGTGCCAAAAAAAGAATCTAGATGTAGGTGCCAGAAAAAAATGGGGTTTTTATCCTTTTGGGGATAAATTCCTAGCCAACCTTTTCTTCCAGAAGTTACTTTTTAGTCTGCAGTCACTTAGCGATATTATTGCCCTTTTGTGTTCCAGTTAAGCATATAGAGCTTTTAAGAACATGTTGGTATAGGAAAAAAAAAAAAAAGATTATCTGTACTCTAAAAGCACATTCCCCCTTCTCTTTTATTGTATCCTCAAATAAGTTGTAAGGCTGTGTTCATTCTTTATTAAAAAAAAAAAAAAAAAAACCATGAAGTTCTAAAGATGTTTCCTTGGCCCTTGTTCAGAGCTTTGAAACACTTGCTGTACTTTATGAGTTTCTGTAGTTTGAGCCTTTTGGAAAAACAAAACTTTTTCATAAACAGCTACTCAGAAAAAGAAAAATCATTTTCATGAACAACTTCAACTATTTTTATCATGCTTCATTCTTTTCCAAACGCTGTGTAGACATTTACACAAGGATTGCATGACTTGGTTTGAGTTTATATTGTTTTTTGTGTTTTTACTGTTCTTTGCATGTTTGAAGTTCACACATTTACTTTTACTGGTCATTTAGTGCTGAGTCATTGTTTATCTATTTTGGGTTGAAATTTATGAGGAACAACAATAAAATAATTACAGTGCCTACCCTCCTCTGTTGGATATACCAAGAACGGGAGCAGTGTGTTTGGCCCCAGAATATGTGAGGAAAGGCCAGAACAGGGCTGAGGAAAGGCCAGACAGGGCTGAGTAAAGGGCCAAAGTTTGACTTTGAAAGGTCTGTTCTGATTCTGCTGATCATTGGAAAACCTGCTGATATGTCACCTTGTCAGCTAGATTTACCTGAGTCATTAAGTAAATTATGCAAAGGTGCTTCCCTACCAAGACATAACTACATTTGTTCTTTGAGTTATATTAATTTCTTCTTGTTTTGCCTAAAGAATTTTAGTCAAATTCTTTCCCAGAAGGCCACTTTTTTTTTTTAAACAGTTTTCTTTTTGTCAGTGGAGGTTTTGAGTGGAAGGTGAGGGGAAAAAAAAAATCACTCAGCTCTCTAGTTACTGACTAGGCCTAGTGGCCTAGGGGTTAAGTCCAAGCTCTGTCACTGCAATAACCCAAGATTGATACCCTGAGTTCCATCCTGGCCAGGGAGCTGACCCACATTTGATACAGTACACCGCTCCCCTCAGCAGTGTATTTCAGTCAGTTGCCAGTTCTGCTCCCCACTCTAGTGAATCCTCTCACCCCCGCACCTCTGGCTTGTACCCCAGTTCTCTCCCCTCCCCCCCCCAAAAAAAAACCTCAAAAAGAAAGTTACTGACTAAAGGTAATTTTGGGAAAAACAGGTAAGTATAATTAGAATATTATTACTGGAACTTCTTTTAAAAAACTTATCAAGGGACAATCCTAATTGTAACTGAACAGCTTTCAATACCTTTTTTTAGACTTGTAGACTAGCCAACGCAGACACTGCTTAAAATGCTCTGTGGACAACTCTCCCTGAATGTTGGGGTGCTTTGCTTTTTATTAGAGAAGAGACTGGAGCTGGTGGGAAAGACTAGATGAGGGGAACTTCCAAATGAGAGGGAAGCTCACCTGTGTCACCGCACAGGAGGCCCCTCTGCTCAGCAGACCTTGGCTTTATGCAAACACCTGCCTGGAGCCAGAACAAAGGCAATCTCCATGCCATGCCTGCTGCCTCTAACTAGTTAGAAGCACCTAGGCCCTGGGACAGGAGCTAGTGCCTCAGGGCCAGGCCTTCATCGAGCCATAATGTCCCCTCCCCAGTGCTGACCCACAAGAGAGTGGTAGAGAGAGCAGGATCACAGCAGAGTGACCGCCGTCAGAGATTGGCTGAATCATCTGCCAACCAAACGTGGTTTTTCCCCTCCTCTGTCAGCTGGCCATAAAGAAACCCCAGGAGGCCACAGGAGCAGAGGGAGTAGTGTTGATGTGATAGCTGGTGATGACGGGGGTGTAGCCACCTGTTCACACACCTGTCCACAGGGTACCTGTGATTTCTAGATCTGCACAAGCCTAATCACTAACGCAGCACTTCCACCTTCTAAGGGTCGCACGCTTGACCTAGCATGCCAGCCATGAACCTGGCCTTGTAGGCACATGAAGTCCCAGCTCAGATGTAGTCTCCACATCTGAGTCACCTCCTGTGGGGCTTAGCAGCAACATCAGCAGCCTACCGTCCTCCCCCCCAACCCCCAAGACCTCCCAGGTCCTTGGAGTTGGCCAGGTCACATGGGGCAAGCAGCCAGCTCCTGAACCGCAGCCAGACCTACTCATGCCTCCGGCCTCCCTCCACCTCAGTCCAGGGCTGAAGTAGCTTGCCCCTGGGGTGAAATCTGCCTCCAAAACCTGGAGGGGGTCGACCCAGCCCCATCCCCCATCCTTAGGAGGCAGTGGGGGTGCAGGTCTTGCCCATTACTTGGAGGGAATGTCCAGGCATATTCCATACTACTTGACCCTTACAAGCAGCATAGATGGCCAGGCCCCTGAGACCTCCTGTCCCACGAACCATGCGTCCTACCATGTCATCTGCTCGCCACTTCTCGCCGGTCACCATCCAGGACGAGTTCAACAGCATGGTCCCGTGGCGTGCCCATGTGGTCCGGATTCCTTTGGATGACTACGCCACAAGGCAGAAGTTCATCAAAGACACTTGCCGGATTTGGAGTTTCTACATAATCTGGAAAAACCCAGACTTTAATGCCCCTTCGATGCCAGCTATTGTGGGTCACACCCCAGCCGGCCTTTACTCTTTCCCTTTGGGCGTGCACAGGCATCCGCTGCCTCCCGCTCATAGCTGCCTCCGCCACAGCTGTCCTGAGTGATGCCGCCCTCACAGGCTCCGCCTCCAGACCCACTTGCGCATGCCCACACCACGCTCCAGGTGCCTACCTTTGGGCACGCAGGCCACACGGGCCACGCCCACACCCAGTGCCTCCTGCATCCATGGCCGCAGGTGATAGCCACAGAGGCCAGGGGTGCAGAAACCTGACCAGTTCATTTATTTTCATATACAACTTTCCTGATCACAGAAGTGTACATCATGACAAACTTTGGTGTACATTTACAAGAGAAAAAGTTGAGTTGGGGATGGAGGGGAACGCTTGCTTTAAGCATGGAATCTGAAACAACCAAAAGAGGTCCAGTTTCCCTAGTAATCAGGAATGATTACGGATTGCAGATTGCCTGCAAATGCAAATTGAAACCTTAAAGTAAAACTCCTTGCCCATCCTTCTGGCGCAAGTGTCAGTCGATTATCCAGCATTGGTGGGATGTGGCACGGCTCTCCTACAGTGCTATGAATCAGCACAGCACTTTGAAGACAATTTGGCAACATTTTTGGAAATAAAAATGGCTTCTGCCATTCGTTGTCTCTGGATCAGCCTCCGGGAAGCACTCTTAAAGAGCATGTACAGCGGGCTCATTGCAGCACTACTGGGAACGGCAGACAGAGAAAGCTATCATTAGGGGAACAGCTAAAAACAATTGTCTTAAATCTATCTATAGAAATAGTTTGCATGTCATAAACTTCAGTCTTGACTTGTCGGCCTCGGTCCCCAACAACTTGTGCAATTCGATGCTTTTCAGTATATTCACAAGGTTGTGCAAACATCACAATTGATTTTAAAACATATTTATCACCACCCCCCCCAAAAGAAACTATACCTTGTCACTGAGATCACAAAACCCTTCCCAGTCCTAAAGCAGTTTCTAGCGCTATAGATTTGCCTAGTGTCGATGTTTCATAGAATTGCTTGTCTTTTGGGCTTGGTTCTTTCACTTAGCGTGTTTTCAAGAGTCATCTATGTGGCATGTTAGTGCTTCATCCCTTCTTGCTGAATAATATTCCATCATGTATCTAGATAAACCACATATTGTTTGCCCCTTTGGATTGTTATGACTAAAGCTACTATGAGCATCCATGTACAAATTTCTATATGAATATATGTTTTCACTTCTCTTGAATGGAATTGCTAGGTCACGTAGTAACTTTTGCTTCACTTTTTGAGTAATCATCAAACTTTTCCAAAGCAATTATACCATTTACACTTTTACCAGCAGTATGTGAAGGCTCCAACTTCTCAATATCCTTGCCCACACTTGTCTTCCTTTTATTATTATATTCACCTTGTGGGTGTCAGTGGTATCATACCATGATTTTGACTTGTGTTCCCCTAATGACTTATGATGTTGAGTATCGTTGTGTGCTTGTTGGCCATTGTGTCTTTTGTGCAGAAATAACCATTTTGTTTATGGCACTTTTATGCTATGCTGTAGGACTGTTAAAGGGATGAGGTAGATCTAGATGTAATCATCACTGACTAGATCTCCAAAACAATACTGAGCAAGACAGCAAGTAGTAAAATGATATACTTACAGTACCACCGGCTTTATATGAATACACACAAGCACGCCACACAAGCACTTGCACACACACACACACAGTACTGTGTGGTTAAATATAAATATATAAGAGGATAGAGAATGCTCTGGTATTTGCCAAACTTTGTGCAATGCTTTGCTATCTTGGGGTAGGAAGAGAGAACTAAGTCAGAAATGGGTGTGAACGCTTACCATATGATTTCACTTGTGTAGGTAGTATAGAGAAAAAACGGGAACTAATAAAACAAAAATAAACTTTTAGGCTGTAAGACCAAATGGTGAATACCAGAAGGGAAGTGGCAAAGTTGGGAAAAGGGGACATTGTTGTGGGGAAGGAGAGATTTGGATGCAGAACAGAGACATTAACATGCAATATATACACATGTTGGTTCTTGACAATGAACACTTGAAACGAATAAAATGTTCTAATGCAATGCTGCTTCAGTTAAAGGAGGGAATTTTTGTTTTACTTATGACATTTTACAGACTCCTCGAGAACTTTTTGCTTGATAAAAGTATGTATAAAAATTCCTTAAAAGACACACAATTTGAGATGATTGGAGGAATAAAGCAACTGGGGAGCTCTTGCTGGAGAGGGTTAACCCAGTTAACCCACCAAGAATATGCAATGGTTCTTCTGGAAATAGGGTCCTCAGCTCTCTTTAGAGCTCAGATCTATATGCCATTGTCTCTTTTTCAAAGTAATTTTATAATTCGCATGGTATAGAGGCCAGTAAAGTTATAGAACTCCTCTCTGCCCTGAAAACTTCCACTCCCCACAGCAATTAAGGTTAGAGCAACTCCTTTCAATTAAACTCCTATGTTCTAGCTTCAGCTCCTTGCCTTATGCACTGGGGGATTTCTTTAGCTTTCTGCTATTGGTGGAGAAAAGCAACTTCCTGGGAAGGAAACAGGGGAAGACTTCCCTGGCAAGCATCCGTGACAGTGGTCTCGGAGCCCGGCAGACTCACCAGAGTCTGTCACTTATCGGGCTCTGCTCAGGTGTGTGCCCCCAAAACCCTCATGGTGACTCTGATGAGCCAACAGGGTGAATAATCATTTATCATGTGAATAAATAAAGCAGCCGTCCCTGGGATACTTCTTGGAGAATTATTTTTGGTAGGTGCTTTATGAGAGAATAATGAGCCTGTCAGCTTTATGGAAACATGCCTGAACTTAGATGGTCTGTTTTGTTCCAGGAATTTCTTAGATTTTTTTACTTGAAATGATTCACATCCTTTGGGTTTGTCTGAGTAGTCTACATAGCACAGCCAGCTGAGCCTGCACAGGGGGCCTGGGTTCTTCATTGAAAATGGTAGGACCGAGCAGCCTGAGGCAAACTTAGCCAGTAAGCCTTTCGCCTTTTCACCCTGGAGATGGGTGGCAGCAGCAGAAATGCCAGGTGGTGAGTCCTCAGGCTGGGCGAGTTACCCGTGGACTCGCTTTGCGAAGCTTTTCCTCTCCCACCCCCATTGTTGATGTGTCTGTCTGAGATGCAAGTGAGAAGCTCACACGACTCAGAAAACTTCACACTAACGTCCATTCTTAGTTCTTTCAGATGTAAAACTTGCAGAAATCCATAAAAACTGTTTAGAGACCTAATGTAGTTTCTCTAAATAGTATTTCTAATATTTATTTATCTAAATAATGAATGTGAGTAATTTTTCCTCATATCTTAAATTTATACTAAACTTTACACTTTCTCTTCTAGGTATTCTCATGGGAGCAGTTATAAAATTTATTGAATTTAAAAAACTGGCAAATTGGAAGGTAGGTTCGCCTAAATGTTCATGTTAGCATAAATGCAGCTTTTATTGGTTATTCTTAATTTTAGCAACACTGATGGTTATGCTGAGTTTCTTACATTACTCCACATCAGTGAAGTTGCTTATATTGTCCTGTTAATTTTTTTTAACATTCTGTTAGAGTTGATATCTTTATATCTGAGGTTATTTATTTTTTTGAAGAAGTATAAATTCCAGTTTCAAGAGAACATGAAAACACTCTATGGTATAGTTGTTTTTAATTTGCACTTTTATAATCCTAGACTAACTTGCTATATAGGGGGAAAGGTTGTAATTAGCATTAAACATCAAGCAGTGTTTATTGTGCCCAATTTCATCCTGACAGCTGACAGCAGATGATAAAACTTATCTGTCCCGCTCTGTAGCACTTCCAGAATGCTGTAACTCCTGTCGGTCCACCGGCTGTCATCATCCCCCTGGTGCTTACAGACGAGTGAGGTGACGCCCAGAGAAGCTAGGACCAGGCCAGGGTCACAGAGCTGCAAAGCGGCTGAGCTGCGTCTCACCTCCACACCCACTGGCCCCACGTGCTCTCCACTGTCCCCACCTCATCCATCCACCTCGGTGTGGGGTGCTTCTGCCCCGGGTCTACACAGTGGTCATGAGGGCAGGAGCATCCTCTTTGGTCTAAGAGCTAACTGGAACTCGAATTTCTATTTAAACTTGAGCCTCCATCTAGAAGAGAGGGATTAACAAGTGTGGTACAGAATGGGTTTTGTAAAGGAAAAGAAGGGTCCCTTTTAATACAAGAATCGTATGGTTGAAATGTGTCACAATGGAGCAGCTCTAACTGGAAAGGGACCCCTCTGACCTGTGAAACCAGGAGGGTAAAATCGCAGAAACGAGCCTTGTGGTCTGACCTGGAAGAGTCAGTGGGAGGCGGGAGGTTGCGCCTCACTTTTATTTTTATATGCTTCAGTGTTAGTGGATTTATCCCTTGACAGATGTTACCTTTTAAGTTGAAATAATAGTAATATGTTTAATAGTACAGACAAGTGAACCAAAGTTGGGAAAGAATGTAATTAAGTGCCCGAGTGCCATCCCAGCAGCCAGGGTTGACCTCAGCGCAGGATGAGGCTTCTGGGCTGGGATGATTGCGACAGGCTTCCTGGAGGACAGTGTTCGCCCAAAGCCAGAGTGGGAAATAGAACACCTGTTCAGAAACTGGCTGCTGCAGGGAGCAATGGGAGCAAGAAAACATGAAGGAGCTTGTTTTCTTTCCATGAACTTCTGTGCCTAAACACTGGCGCTGGGCCTGCCGTTGGCTGGTGTGGTCATGTTTAAAGTATTTCTTCAAAGCAGCTTGCTTTTTTATATATGTGCATTTTTATAGACCCCCCTCCTTTTTTGTTTTTTAAGGAAAGACTCTGGTGACATAATGCAGATAACATAAAATTTAAAATTTTAGTCCCTTCTAAGTGTACAATCAGGTGGTATTCACGACACTCCTGGTTTTGTGTCATCACCACTGTTGCTTTCTAGAACTCTTCCCATCAGCTCAAACAGAAATGACAGCTCCCTCTTCCCGGGTCCCCATTTTCTGTTCTCCTTTTTGATATCTATTTTTTCTTTCTCCTTTTGTGGTCGCTCCTGTTCTACTTTCCGTCGTGGATTTGCAACTCTGAGTCCCTCACATACGTGGAGCCACGTATGTCCATTTGTGTCTGGCTTACGGTACTTTGGTTGGTGTTTCAAGGTTCGTTTTGGCGAGTGTCAGAACTCCCCCTGCCCCTGTGGCTGAATAATTTACTCGCGGTTGGCATAGACCACACTTGGTTTGTCCATTCATGGCGGGTGAAGGGGGCTGTTCTCCCCTCTTGGCTCTGATACATGATGTTGCTGTGAACACTGGCGTACTTGATACATTTATGTTAAAGGACACTTCTTAATATTATGTCAGGCAGAAAATGATTTCATGAATTTGATAAAGTCAGATCTAGCACAGATACCTGTGGGAGCCTCTGAGGCCAAGCCTGGCCTCTCAGAAAGGGAGATGAGCATACTGGCCAGAGGTGCTCCTTCCACGCGGCAGCACCAATGGAGGTGTCTGACTTCGCTCGGACTGAAAAGCGTTAAAAGGGGCGACCGCTCAGCCTGTGGGTCAGCAGTATTTGACACGCACTGTTCCGGTACCCGCTAAAGTCAGCAGTCAGATGTTGCTAAAAGGAACCTGGGCGTCTGCCTAACACCACCCTGCTGAGAGGGCTACTGAGTCCCCTGTGCTTTGTCACCCATCACCGCATGCTGGGTGCGAAGCTACAGCCTGTTCTCATCATTCTGGAGGCCAGAAATCTGGGTGCAAGGTGAGGGCAGGTTCCAGGGAGAGCCCCACGCGGCTGCCCTGCTCTGCGGTGCCGGCGTCCCCTCTGGGCTGAGGCAGAGCAGTGCCGGCGCGCCTCTGTCTTCACGTGGCCTCTGTGTCTCTGTGTCCTTTTTTGTCTCTTTTATGGACACTCTCATCAGGTTTAGGGCCCACCCTAATCCAGGATTACCTCACCCAGATTCCTCCCTAATGACATCTGGACAGACTCTTATTTCCAAATAAGGTCACTTTGGGAGATTCCTCTCTGTGATCCCCTGCAGGTGTGTCCTCCTCCCAGGGAGGGCTCTGTTTCTGAAATTCCAGAGGACCTGTCTACTGACCAGGTCCTGAGAGTAAGGTGCCCACAGAGCTCAGAAGTCAGCCCTTTCTCTTCACCTGGGCCCAGACTGAGTCATGAGCTTGTTACACAGGCAGTTATTTTAAGACTTAATAAGGCACTTTCAGAAGCCATCATTTGCTCCTATTTTGAGCCTTTTTGAGCACAATTTTAGTCTTTATGGTAACAGCTGTACATTTGTAAGAATACATTTAGTCACTCTTTGAAATAGGAATTTTGACAAAAAAATCAATCTGTCAAGATTGTGGCATGGAAATTTTCTCCAGAAAAGGGGCCTGATCTTGTAGTATCAGACTGACTGTGGGTTACATCTAGGCTATGTGCTTCTGGACCAGTGTGTACTTTTCCCATGTCCACCAACAAGATATATGTACAGGCAGAAAATGAAATTATTATTTCATTTTCACAATGATGGCCATATTCTAGAACCATCTTCCATCATGATACTTAGCATTTGGATCTGAAAGCCTGGCAAAGGGCTCGTTTTACTGCACGTCCCCAGTCACAGGGCCCTCAGGTGAGTTAGAGCGAGCGCCTGTGAGCGCAGGGAGAAGGGAGGGTCGCCTTAAGCCTAGTACGGTTTGCTGGCCTCCAAGTAGATTGTTTCAGGGTTTCCCTTTACCTTTATGCTGGAGGATTCCAATTTGCCAGCTTTTGGAAAGCGGTCTGAATTTCTGTATTAAATCGGTTTTCTTAGCCTCATTAAAGAACAAAAGCATCCTGCTGTCTGTTGGGAAGCAGCGTGCTCTGTTCCTTCTTCAGCAGATCACCTTTTTAAATATTTGTCCTCCGTTTTCAAATGCAGCTTTTGTTTTTGTTTTTGGTGTTGCTTTGTTTTGCGATTAGTTTTTCCCTCCTCTCGGTTTTACTGCCAGGCAGTCTTTTAAACATCACAGATTTCCACCAGGCCAGGCTCTAGCTTCTCTAAGGAAGAGTGACTCTGGCTCTTCATTGATGGACTGGCCTCTAGTGACACAATTTTCATGCCTCTGAAAACACCCTTTTTATGTTTCAGGAAGAGGAAATGTTTCGTCCAAATATGTTTTTCCTCCTGCTGCTTCCACCTATTATCTTTGAGTCAGGATACTCGTTACACAAGGTAAGACTCAGGCAGTGCTCCGGGCCCGCATGGCTCCCCAGGCCGGCAAGCCCGGTTCCCTGACAGCTGGGGTGTTAATTTTGCAGCGACTCTATGTGAAACCCTGGGGTGCCTGGTGGAAGCTGGACTGCCCGGCCTTGCTGGTGGAGAGGAACAAGCATGGCCGCTGGGCCGCTTTTATGGGTCGGCAGTGTGGCTTATTAACCTGGCACTTTCCACAGAGGAGAGCTCTGCCCGGGAAGATTGCCAATGTGATTTCAAGTGGACACGGACAATACACTGGCTCCTCTTGTTGGACGCAAACTAACACATGTTAAGAGGACAGGCTGCCCTGAAGGAGAGGACCGAGTGTCCCAGACCTTTGAGCTCCAGCTTACCTGGCGGGCCCTGCCCTCCCGCCCAGACCTACTCGCCCTCCCTCTCAGTGTTCTGCCTTGGGCCTCCACTCCCGGCCAGTAGCCCCTTCATCCCTAGTCTCCCTCCTCCACACCCTCTCCATCTTTCCTCCTCGTCTTCCTAGCTCCTTCAGGCCCACTCTCCCAGACCTCCGTGCTGGGCAGCCTGGTTATGCTGGCCTGGGCCTGGGCAGGAGCATCTCACCTCTGGCCAGTTTGTGTGTCCTGTGTTTTTTTCCCCTCGTCAGAGAGTTTTCTTTTAATAGGAATGAATTGCGGTTTTAAAATGAAGAGGTGATTCAACATAGACTATGTCACTAGTAATGTAAATTGTTTGGTAAATGTGATTAAAAAGTGTAAAGGTTAGCAGGAGGACGCTCTTGGGAGCTCCCTAGGGAGAAAACAGAGGGCCAAAGCCAAGGGCCAGGCTTAGGAGCACGATCCGAGAGCTGGTCCTGTGCTGCCCCCTACAGGTCTCCCGGGTAGAGTAGAAATCAAAACCAAGTCACCCACCCCCCAGCCCCTGCCTCCAGGCTTGTTTTGAAATTTATAATAAATGAAAGAATGTATGGGAATTACCACCTACCCAGTTAAATAAATCTAGAGCTTCTTGTTATCAGTGTTATCTGTTATTAATATTACTATTACTGCTGGTAATAGCTTACTAAACTGGAGAGTTAAATTTGTCAAGAGAGTTTTGGTAAAAACATACAATTAAATCTTTAACTTCCCCCTGGGTACTACAGCAAATATACCCTAAGATGTTCCATGCAGATTTCCTTCTTAAATTGTTTTATAAGCAAGAAAAGTTGAAGCCCTTTGTGTCTTTCATTTTGTAAACAACTTAAAAGAACTATAAGCTGATTATAAAAATACCTCAAAATAGTGCTGAGGAAGCTGATTTGACTTAAAAACATGATATTTTGATGATTGTATCAAGGCATGCAAAGTATTTTCTGACATTTTGGAGGAGGGAAAATAAATGATCTTGTTCAAAGTCTGAGAGACATAATATTTCCTTAGAAGAACACTTTTTTGCGCATGGTTTTTCAGCAAAGAATGTTACAATTTACATGAGTTAGATGTGAGTTGAAAATGCCAATTTAGAGGCGCCTGTCTACTCCCTGTCCTCCCCCAGACAGATAGGAAGTTAGCTTTGGTATTTTATTTTAATAGTGTTGTGTTTGCTAACATAAATTTGGATTGGGAATTAAAGTTCAGTAAGATGATTACCGCTTGAAACTCAGCGGACAAAGGGGAGCATAGCACTTGCAGGTGGGTGACCGGCCATTGTGGGGTCCAGCCTTCCAGACTGGCTGGCTTTTTGCCACACTTCAGATAGCAGTGGGGGGCACAGCGAAGCCAGCACATCAGGTTTTCCTTTAGCAAAGATTTTTCTGGTAGTTCTTGAAGAATGGAGAGCAAGGAGCCAAGAATGGTTGAGACTTACCAGTCTTATTAGAGTTACGCGACTTACGAGTCTCGGCTGCGGTGGTCGGGGAGAGGTGAAGGCGGCTGGGGCCAGGCTGGTGGAGATGGGGGGGGGGGAGCTGTAAGGAGGGGAGGAGCCACAGGACTTAGCTCTGCTGGGTGTGGGGTTGAGGGGAGACTCCCAGGTCTCCAGCTTGCCCAACAGGGTGAGAGAGGGTGGCCCTTCCAGAGGCCAAGGGTGAGGGCAGGGCTAGGGCAGGCCCCTCTGCCCCCACCTGGAGCAACTGATCTGACCCTTTCTCTCCTTCCAAACAGGGCAACTTCTTTCAGAACATTGGTTCCATCACCCTGTTTGCTGTTTTTGGTACAGCAATTTCCGCTTTTGTTGTAGGTGGAGGAATTTATTTTCTGGGTCAGGTAAGAAAAGCATCTTTCAAAGACTTGGCAAATCTTACATTCTTAGAGTGAGTGCAGGCAAGGGGCTAGGGATGCCACCTGGGACCTGGCTTTCGCGTTCAAGGTAACACCATCCTTGAAGGAAACTCAGACTCACATGAAACATAGAAAGCCATGCTAGGATTGTCCCCGAGTGTCCTCGCAGAGCTTTGGATCTGGAACTGAGCGAACTTTTTTCCATGAGCCTCCACAGTATTGTAGTATCTTCGCTTGCACCAGTGTTGTCTTGTCAGAATTCCTAAAAGTAAAGCAGACTAGATGCCATGAAGAGATTCAGTCAGAGAGACTGAATCAGGGATAACACTGTTAGGCTTTTTTTTTTTTTTTTGAATAAACATTTGTATTTTTTAAAAAATCAGAGATGATTCTGAATGTGTTCACTCAGTTCTTAGGTAGCCCCTGTGGAGTCACATATATCCTCTGGATTTCCTGCCATTGCTAAACCGACTCCCAGTGTCATCAACTGGGTGATCTGTACTTTGGGTTCAAATAGATTTGAGTTCATTTGAGTGCCTCTCACACGACACAGCTTTTCCCCTTCATTGTCAGTTGCTGAATGTTGGCTGCCCCAGTTCTGGAGACTAAATTTGAGGTTCAGGCATCTCAGTGACTGGCAGATTTCCCACTTATGTGTCAGATGCATTTGCTGCTTCTCATAGCTGTAGGCTAAAGCCCATCCCATCTGATGGCCACGGTGGCACTAAAATAAGTCTGTCAGGCAGCCCTCTGCCTGGATCAGCTTCTAGCATAAACAGGAGTGAACATGGAGAAGAAACTGAGGTTCATCTGGTTTGGAAAAACCAGCATTCTTTTCCATACTTCTGTTGCCCGGTGACGGAGTGCATGCTTACCCTAAAACTTGGGGGTGTTCTTTACTTTTCACATGGTTTGGGGGCTGAAGATTAATGTCCCTATTAGTTTGTGAGGAAGCACTAATGGGCCTTTTAATCTTCTTGGCTGTTCTCCAGGGGTTGTTTTTGTGTCTGTGTGTTTATGTGTTTTCTTTTGCAGGCTGATGTAATCGCTAAACTCAACATGACAGACAGGTAAATCTTTCACTCTGTAAAACCATGGGACTGCTTTTCACCTGGGGAGAACTTTCTCCACATTGATTCCTGGGTGTGGTACTTATCTATCTGTCTCTCTTTTTATTTTGCTGATGATTTCTGCGATAGAATCTATCCTGAATTAATTTGTGTCTCTGAAGTGATCAAAATTATGTTAAGAAATTTGAAGATTTCAGAACATTATGGCTGAAAGGACTGATTTAGTTCAAACTTTGGAGGAAATAACTCTGGCCCGTTATCTAACACACACACCCCCCAACACATATGCGCCTCCCTATTCTGCAGCCTTGCCCTTTTTCTTAAGGCTCATCTCCAACTAATTTCTCAGCCTTTTTTGTGGCCATAATGAAAAGTTGTCATCATGATAGATTAGGGATGGAGTTGGAGTGAGGCGGGGTGGGGTGAGGTGGGAGAAGCTCGACTGTGGATCTCCACCTCAGTCTGAAGTCTTCAACCTGCTCCGGGACATCTGGCTGGGAAAACAGAGAACTGAATCAGTGGTCAAAACGTCAGGGGAAGAGTGAAAAAATTACCCGGCAGACAAGTGAGTAAGTCAGGTAGCATCTGTCTTGATGGGCAGGCAGTTCCTTTCCTGTTGGAAAGCGGCCGCCCACAGCGGGACTAGCCCAACAGTCTC